CCTAAAATGGATCAATAAAATTAATAAAAATAAATAAAAGCATAGTTATAAAAGTATGAGTATTAAAAAGTTTTTTATGACATATTTGACAGTACTGGGGATTGAACTTAGGGTCTTCACATTGAGCTACATTCCAGCCCTTGTTCTGATACGGAGTCCCACCACCCTGCCCAGCTTAATTTTTCTTTAAATAAAAGTTTTTACTTATAAGTTAGTTGTAGTTTATAAGATCTAATAAGGATAATACTGAAAATACAATGTACTCATGAACCATAAACTTTCTTTGGTAGGACCTTAATTTCATTCATATATTGTTAACATTAACTTCTAGCATTCTGGATACATACCTGTTCCCCGTACAGTATAGGTCGGTTTAGGTTTATTCCCTTAATTGCTTGGTTTTGAGTTAGTACTGTGGCAAATGCTACCACACTTTGCATGCCCTAAAAATAGGCAAATTCATTAAAGAAAATGACAGAGTATATAAATTAATACATATTTCAAGATCTGTTATATGAATTTGGATAAAACTACATTTTTAAAAAGTATAAGCATTTCTTGCTCTTTGAACTATAGGCTGATCAAATTCAGAAATAAATCAATACTGTACTCCTCTGTCCCTGCTCTAAAATCTATTTACAACATGCATGGGGAGGTTTTTTTTTTTTACTATTCAGCATCCATTTCCTGGATATTTGCCTCTGGGCTTGCTCTCAAGCCCTTGAGGTTCTACATGATGCAGACCTCAATAGTTAATACACACGTGGATCCCAGCTGCGAAGACGCATGTACTTAATGCAACCCATATCCTGTGCAAGCATTCACACTAGTACAGTAAGTGTGTAAGGTGGGAATGGTTACCAATCACATTTTCCGCATCTCCCATGGGCTCCCTCCATTTGACCAAAAGGCCTAATCTTACCCATCTTCATGATGGATACCACCACACACAACTAGCTGTTATTTCAGGAAAGAAGGACTTCCTCTCTTCTATTCCCTTTAGCCTCCCATCCAGTTGATCAGTAAATTTTATACATCCTGCCTCCAAAAGATGTCTCAAATTAGTCTATTCCTGTCCATGTCTGTGGCCAGCACTCCTGGCCAAGTCATCATCTCCCCTGTAGACAGCTCCAGTGACTATCTTAGTGGCCCTCAGCTTCGTGCTGCCTTCCAGTGTCCCGTAGGAAAATGAGAGTGATCTTTTAAAAGCACCAGTCAGACCATGTCACTTCTCAGTGTAAAGCCCTTCCGTGATTTGCATTTTTAACAACCCTCTCTCCTCACCCTGACCCATGACCTGTACACTACAGCCTGGCCTGACTGGCCTTAATGAACCTCTCCTTCTCCACTTCAAGGCACTTTTAATTGTCTCTGCTCAAACACTCAAACTTTCCAGTTTTTGAAATCTGTCAGACTTGATATTTTATTTTTCATGTGCCTCCTCATGACTATTGCCATATCTAAATATGCAAAATACTTACCAAGTACTACTTCATCATTTGCTTAACACTTTCCTATTAAATCAATTTATTTGTATTTATTTTAAAATAAAACTTTGTGTCATTGCCACAACAGGAAGAACATAGTCCCTTGACATGAACAGAAAACATCTGTGAAAAATACATACATGAGTATTAAAATTACCTCATTCTCCACTCCCCAGACCACACTTACAAAGCACTGTCAGTGTGTGGTCAATCTACTGTCTGAAGTATGCTGCCACTTCAGCAAACTGTCCAGGTACCTCCAGGACAGTTTTCCTCACCTTTCATGACTTGTGCACAGTACCTCCTCATGTCTCAGGCAACCATCTTATCAAACAGAATGACCTCCTCGCCATTATCAGAGTGCTGGGTCACATTTATACCACTTTTCTCTATTTCTTCTGTGATGTTTTCCCAACTAAAATATCAGCTTCATAAGGGTAGAAGCCTCATCTGATCCACTAATATATCTTTGGCATCTCGGACAGTGATTAATATGTGTTAGCAATAAATATTGAATGAATGCTTTCCCAGAACCATACTAGCTGCATCTACTAGTTCACAAATAGTCCTTCAGAACCAATTACCCTATAGAGCCTCCTGACCCATCTCCGCTGTTTTTGTGTCCCAGTGATTTGGCACATATCAAAGGCTCTGTACGACAAGTTTCTCAGGTCTCAAGACTGGACAGCATCTTTGAGAAAGCAAAACCTAGACTTCAGGGCCAGGGATTTAGCTCAGTGGTTCTGCCGCCTGCCTTGCAAGCATAAGGAACTGAGTTCGATCCCCGCTACCGAACAAACAAACAAACCTAGACTTCAAAGACATGTAAAAAACACATTTGTCATTTTCAGGCCAGATGAAGGCTCAGAGTAGCTTTTGGTATTATCGGTTTTAAGTTTTTATGGTACAATATAAGTAATTCAGAATATTTCAAAGTAAAGAAACTTGTACTAATGAAACAATATCTGTTCAATTAAAATGAAATCCCATACAAGTTAAGATGAGCTATGGATAGAAGTTTAGAAATATTTTTATTAAACTGGATGTTTTTCTATGGTATTTACTCTGATTTCATTAACAGTCTGAACTATTATGACCCAGTTGGGGAGGCACCTTTTCTCTTGATATTTAGACAGTAGGGGGAAGATTCGCTATTCATAAGGCTGTCATTTGCTTGGTGTCTTGAACAAGTTTCTCTATGCTGATTGCCTGGGAAACCAATTTACTTACCAGATCACAGTCACCCACATCTAATTTCTCTAAGGATGAATTAATTTGCAACATTGCAGCAAAAACCATTCCACCTTTATTTTCAATCTTATTTCCAGTCATTCTTAAGTATTTCAGAGTTGTATTCTTCTGAAAAGGAAAATAATCAAAACTTAGTTAAATTTCAATCCACAGAATTCTCTAATTGAAGTGAGTTAGGGGACCATATTACTATTTGTAGAATCATATTTTTCATGGAAACAGGTCAGGATATATTCCTTAAAGGTAACACTCAATTTCCAATTTTAGGTAAAAATCTACTTAAATAGCTTAGAAGAAAGAATGACCAAGAAACAGATGCCAAAGAAATAGCCAGTAAATAAAGTAGATTTTAATAAACATTCCTTTCCTTAGAAAAACTGTAAATTTATTTTTTAAGAAGCCTATATCATTTTTATTGAGGTGAAATTCACATAAAATTAATCATTTTAAAGTATACAATTCAGTGGCACTTATTACATTCGCAATGTTGTGCAGACATTACTTGTGGCTAGTTCCAAAACATTTTTCATCCACCCCAGTGGTAACCTTGTACCCACTGGCGCATATGCCTGTATCACTTGGTTTTGTTTTTTGTTTTCCTAGTGCTGAGTATTGAACTTTCAAAATAGTGAGGTACTGGGATAAGGATAGACAGTAGATTAATAATATAGAATTGAGAGTACTACAAAGTATCCCTCACATTTATGTTCAACTGATTTTTTGACAAAGGTGTCAAGACAATTAATGAGGCAAAGAACAGGTGTTTAACAAATGCCTTTGGGACAATCAGAAATTCACATATAAAAAGACTGAAGTTGGAATCCTAACTGTATCATACTGTAAACAAAACTAATTTAAAATGGTTGAAAGAACTAAATAAAGGAACTAAAGCTATAAAACTCTTAGAAGAAGACATAAATGTAAATCTTTGTGACTTTGGGTTAGGCCTTCTTAGATATAATACCAAAAGCATAAGCAACAAAATAATGAGCTTTATTTTAAAGATTTTTTTATGCTTCAAAGGATATCAAGTAAGTGAAAAACCAATTTCCAAATGAGAGAAAATGTTTTCAAATCATATATTTGATTAAAGACTTATACTTAGGATATATTAATTCTTACAATTCAAAAAGACAACCCAACAGGTACAGAGCACAGCCTTGCAGTTCCTGCTTCTTGGTAGGCTAAGGTGGGAGGGTCCCTTGAGTCCAGAAGTTCAAGACAAACCTGAGCAACAGGGTAATGGTAGGATCTCAAAACAAACAAAAACCAATTTGAAAGGGCAAAGTATTTGAATAGGCATTTCTCCAAAGGAGATATATAAATGGACCACAAATCCATGCACAAATGCTCAGCAGCATTTAAGGAAATATAAAGCAAAAACACACACAAAACCTTTTGATACACACTAGTATAGTTGAATTAAAACAGCAATGACAAGAGTTGGTGAGGACATTGAGAAACTAGAACACTCACACACTGTTGCAAGAATTGTTAAAAGGGGTAGCCACTTTGGAAAAACAATTTTGGAGTTTTTCAAAATATTGTCTCAAAATATTTTTTTTTGAGATAGGATCTTGCTATGCAGCCCAGGCGGGGCTTGAATTCATGTTATTTCTCCTGCTTCAACCTCCCAAGTGTTGAGATTACAGGCAGGTGCCACAATGCCCAGGTCACCAAATGGAATACCATTCAGCAATAAAAAAGAAGAAAGTATGCTAAAATATGGATGAACCCTGAAAACATTAAACCAGTCCCAAAAGGCTACATATTGTATGATTCCATTTATATGAAATGTCCAGAATAGGCAAATCTATATACAGAAAGAAGATTAGTGGTTACCAGAAACTGAGGGCTGGAGGGACAGAACAATGGAAAGGGACTGCTAATTACAGATATGGGGCTTATTTCTGAGGTGATGAAAATGTTCTAAAAAAAATCACAGTGGTAATGGTTGCACAATTCTAAGTGTACTTTTAAAATTCCCACTAATTTCAGAAGACTTTAAGAAAGTAAATTTTACATATGTGAATTATATCTCAAAAAAGCTGTTTTTAAAGTGATTTCAAAAGTTCTCATATGTCCACATGCTAATAAACTGAAGTGTAAAAGAAATATACATTGCTACAATATTGAAATAATGTAAGTTCATAATAACATTTTTTTTTTGGTACTGGGGATCGAACTCAGGACCTTGTGCTTGCAAGGCAGGTGCAGTGCCACTGAATTAAATCCCTGGCCCCATATTAACATTTGATTCTGTTGTTTCCAAGCTATCAGAAGTAAATATTCTCAAACAAAATGCTAGTTCTACATGTATAATGCTTACATGTAATGCTTTAGCAAGCAATTCTCCACCTTCGGGCCCAATATCATTAAACATAAGGTTTAAGTAAATGAGGTACAGTTGTTTCTACAAGGAGAGAACAAAAGATATTACACATGAATTATTAGAAACTGGGCAATTATTCACATGCTTTATTTTTATTATTAAAAAAGAAAATCATCTTTTTCATTTAAAAAGTAATTGCAATATAAGGGAAAGGAAAAGATTATATGCAGTTTTATCAATAATATGGACAAAGTATGGACATGCTTTATATATTTAGCCATAGAGTGCAAGTTTGTAAAAAATGAGGAGCTCTAGACACCACCTGTATGAGACCAAGTACTAGTGGATTCCCACATATTTCAAGTATTACAAATATCACAGTCAGGGCCCCAGACATTTTGCAGGCTGCTATTTGTGAGTGTATGCCATTAGATGAAATGGTTTCACTTAGTCAAACATCCAAGAATATTTCATAGTAAAGTAATACCTGAAGAAGTTTCGCAGCATAGTGTGCACCAATATCATTTATGAGATTATATCTAACATCCAAACCTAGATGAATAGAAAAGGACACGGATGACTAGAAAAGGATATTCCTCATAAAGAATACCTAAAATCAGAAAAATGGAAAGCTGGAGGCATTGATTCTTCAACATACCATTAATATACGGATTATCCTTTAGAAGTTTAGAAAGAATACAAAAATCTTCAGCTGTCACTTTTTGTACTGGGATTAAGCGATTGTTACCTGCAATGCTCAATGTGATTCCTTCTTTGGGTCTGTTAAAAATTTAAAAAGGAAATGATCTTGAAATACAAAGAAAGAAACCTAGTTTTTAAAAAGTATTTTTTTCTTTACATGTATACAAGAACATCATAGACAACATTTACTGGAACCAAGTATGTAGTAGATTTACAAGTACATAGTGCATTTATACCAGGTAATTTAAAACTACTGGGCACTCTCCAGGCTTTGGAAGGGACCTTAATATATTCTGTACAACTTATTTCTCTCTCACACACAAAGTATTCCCACTTCATAGATAAGAACAATGAAAACTTCAGTGATTTGCCTAAATTCACCCAGCTCACAGGAGTTAACGGCAATCTAGCCCAGGCTTGCGGACTTCTGGGCTAGTATTCTTCCCAGTGTCCTACACCACCTCTAAGACCTACTAACAGGGTCTCTCACCTACTTCCTTATCTGAGTCAAAAGATAGGTTCATTTTACCAAGCATGTTCAAATGGCTATAAAATCACTGAGTAGTACAGGATTTTTACATAGATAAGAAACAACACTATTGATGTAATAAAATATTAATCTTCCTTACCCCTTTTTAATTTCTTCATCCACTTTTTGGAGTACACACAATATAAAAGGATTAATATTCTGGGACTTTTCTGAACATAGTTTACAGTAACTTTCCTGGAGAGTAGCAATAGATGCTGGAGCTTCTGAAAAATAATGTATCCATCATCATGTGTAAATCATTCCAGAAACTGTCTTTCTATAACAACTATAAGTCTTTCAAAGATATGGGGTAGGGGGAAGGAGAACTAAGGCCAGAAGTAGAGAGAAATAAAAGGAATGGGAGAGAATAAAAATGCTGTTTGGAGCCTAAGGGCCTCAGACACACCCACAGGGGGACAGGGAGACATGGGCTCAAGTCAGCACCCTAACTTGAAAATGACATAAAGAGAACTAAACTTTATTATGTGCCAGGCCTGGTAGCTGAGGAAAATAATATCCAGAAAATTAAATATTTTGTGCAAAATCATGCAGTTAATAAGGCAGTGTTCAAAATCAAACTGACTCTGAAGACTTGCCACTGTGCCACAAACACTGGTTAAGGTGACTCAGTGTCATAAATCAGCTACAGATAAAAGACAACTGTATCCAGCAATCCAACTCCAAAAGGATCTGAAAAATCACCTAGTCCCACAGACTTCTCGGATACTCTCTGTACCATCCCAAGTTAGCATCTTTGAATATAACCTTGTCAGTTCTTCACACCAAACTGGCTTTACACCAAGTCTGGCTCATATAAACTATTTACCCATCCCAGACTTCTATGTCCTATTTCTGAAGGTGATTTCCCCCTGTACAATTCTTATAAATGATAGATGTGGTGGTTAATTGACTAATTGTCAACTTGAGAAGGAAACAACCAGCTGAATTGAGTCAGTGTGGTTCTGGATGTGGAAAACCCATGGGGGTCTGTTGTTGCAACGGTATAAAAAGAACTAGAGGGAAGAATTTCAGCTGATTTTCCTCGGAGGAGCTTCGGCTGTTCTCTTCAGAGGAACTCCAGTCTTCGCCTTCACCTTGGCTGTTGTCTCCTGGCTTCTGGCACAGATTCTTCAGCTTCCAGCACCAGCCTTCGGCCTGCCAGCACACTGCTTTAGCTTCTAGTGCTGACCCTTGGACCTTCCAGAATAGACCCCTTGGTCTTCTGTCGCAGATCCCTTAGCCTCCTGATGTGGACTTGCATGGGACATTTTTGTGGGCTCCAAGCCTTCGGCTGGATACTTTGGATCTCTAGTGCATGGACAGATCTTTTGCACTCTTCTAGGTTTGACTCTGTGGGCGGCTATTGTAAGCCAATCTTGTAAATTTCTATGTCCTGCATTAAATCTGAATCAGAGCATGTGCAGTCTCTTTTGAGGAGCCTTGCCCTAGCCCTACAAGATCTTGTAAGCACTGATGGTGTAAAACAACAAAGCTGAACTTCAGATCTCCTTTCTCCATTATACATAGAGCTTTCCATACTGGTCCTTTTTCAATATTAGTTTAAAAACATCGTTTTCAAGGCCCAAGTCTTCTGAGGTGGAAGTTATGCTGCTATTTTTTTAAGCAGCACTAATCTCAGAGAGTTTCAGGGCAACCTTCTCCTTTCTAATATCAAGGAAAGAAGCCCAGTGGGAGCCCAGTTCCAACTTTTCTTTAGAATCTATTGTATTTGCTTTATTTCCTGGCCAGAATGCTAATGCAGCATTTTCTAGATTTCATTCCAAGAGAGCCATGATCACATAAGGCTGGGAAGAGCAGCATTCTTATCTCTCTCCCCTCCAAGTTTAAGATAAGTTCAAGAGTCTTTGTAAGCTGAGAAGTGTTGCAGCTGCTGGGCTGGCAGTGACTGCAGCTTATGTGAAGGTTCCTTGGTCACCCTGCCCTGGGTTAAAGGCTCACTTGAGGAGGGGTTCCTGAGATTAGTGCTGACCACACCATGCCCAGAGTGCTTGAAATGTGTCAGATTTATAACTAATATTGTTATAGTTCTCAATACAGTTCTTAATATAGCTCTTGATATACTTCTTAATATACTTCTTGTGGAGGCAGTAAAGAATCTTAGAGTATAAGCTAATATCACTAAAGAAAGTTACAAGAATATTTTTTTTCTTGCTACATAGTCCAGGCTGGCCTCAAACTCACAGCAATCCTCCTGCCTCAGCCTCCCAAGTGCTGGGATTACAGGCAATGTGCCACCACACCCAGTCTACAAGAATATTCTTAATCAATTACCTACAGATTTAAGTATTTAAAAGTTTCTGATATATTTTCCTCCTACTCTTTCGATTTAAAATTCACCTTTGTATTATATGTCAGGATGTTATGGTGCCATTGTTTCCTATACTGTATTCAAGCCAGTCTTCACGTTGTAAAGCAAAACTAGGGGAACAATTTAGCTGCACAGGAAAATGTCAAGAATCTAACCCAAATTTCATTTTAAATTTTCTGAAGAAAATTACTTATTTTGGAGGCAGTTCCCTCCCAAAGATGCTCTTCTACCTGGAACAGCCCACTACTGGGACATCCTAGGCCTGGACGCCCTCCTCAGAATCCAGTGTGTAATTGAGCACGTTACTTATACTCTCAGAGCCCTTTCTGTAAAGGTGAAGGGTAACAATACTCCTGTCCCAGGTGCAGAGAGGATTAAGTAAGGCTCCTTCTCCAGATGGTTACAAATCCACCGGCACACACTTAAATAAGCATTCAAACTCAAGGCGTGTGGTAGTCAAGCTCTGCTCGATTTGTTAAAGAGAATTCAAGGGCGTGGAAATATTTAAAACGGAGAAGGTCCGCAGGTGCAAAGTCAAAACGGTCTCGAGACCCTCTTGCTCATCTGGGGCCTGCTTCTTGGGGCACAAAAAGGAAGGAAACACCTTGCAGGAGACTCTGAGGGCAAAGTGCGGGGGTCTGAGGCTACCCGGAGTTCGGGCCACAGCTGGGGTTCCCGGGGCCTACAGCTTCCGCAATCAGCCAGTGCGTCTCCTCGCGCGTTTGTCCGGGCCAGTGGACACCCAAAGGCATCCTGCTCCTCACCGTGCTTACCCGCCTGGGCCGGGGCCGGAGTGGGGGCCGCAGCAGGGTCGGCCTCCTCCAAGCTGCTCCTCATGCTGAGCTCTGCTGGGTTGGCCGCTGTGGCGTCTCCGTTGTCATGGCGACCGGGCCTCGCTGGAGCGGGGGGGCGGGGCACGGCACCGGATCTTCCCCGCCTGGGCCTGCAGACCTCGCTGGGCTGGCAGTGACTGCAGTTTAGGTCAAGGCTCCTCGGTCACCCTGCACTGGGTTAAAAGCCCACTTGAGGAGGGGTTCCTGAGATTTGAGGGACACGACTGGGCCACAGGCTAAGGCTACAAAGACGATTATGACACAGTCCTCGCCCCCAAAGTGCGCACAGTCCTGCGGGGGATGGAGCAGAAGCCGCTGGTAACACCAGCCGGAGTTAAGGACTTGGGGTTACCGGAGCAAACAGGGTTTTGCGGAAGGGCGGGGCTCTCAGGGAGGGCTTCCTGGAGGAGGTGACCAGGGGACAAGGCTGAGATGCCCGAGGGCAGGCCGTGAGGTGGAAGCTGCGGAGGAGAAGCTACTTTGGTGAGTTCAGGTCGGTACAAACGGGCGGGGAGGCAGGGGCAGATCCTCAGGGACCTTGAGCGTCTTTTGAGGAACACTGCTGTTAAGGGGCAGGGGCCCGGGAGCTCTCCGTCTCCAGCAGCTGGAGGAAGAAGGATCTAACAGGTTCTTCCCCCGGAAGCCTAGACTGAAGCAGTTACAGCAGGGCTGAGGCAGGGGTGGGGAGTGAGGGAGACGGGGCAGAGGAGGGGAAGGAGGAACAGTATTATAGGGTAGCACGGTTAGTGTGGTATTTGGGTGCAGAAAGGAAATGAGAAGGAAGGTGAGGTTGTGCTTAGGGATTGCTGCAGAGCAAAGAGAGGAAGATGGAGGGGAGGTGCGGAGGACCCTGGAGCCACTCAGAGACTACTTTCAGTGAGAAAGTGCAGGAAGACCCTCAAGGAGAAACCAGTTAGAAGCACAGTTACAAGGTGGAAAACTGAACCCCTGAGTCCTCCCTCCCTCCTATGCCCACTGGGCCATTCCGCACCTGCGCTGCACTGTCGTGAACATGCGTGGCAATTTAAGCATCATCTGGAAGTCCTTTTATTATAGACAGCCAAGTTAGCTAAAATATTATAGGCATCAGATAGGGCTGGCTCCTCAAGAGAGTCAATGCAAAAGATAAGAACACACATTACAACTGTGGCTGGAGGTGCATTCGCTAAAGGTCAGGCCTCAGACAAGGAGAAAGGGCTACACCCACCTGCTTCCCCTAGGGATGAACAGCAGTGACTGATATTCTAAATAGGCATCAGTCACCTTGGGGGACCAAAACCTCCCTAATCCACTCCTTCCTGGAAAATCTTTGTTTGGTCCATGTACACTTGCTGTGTGACTTGCCTCCCCATTTGATCCCCATTTAATCAATATCATCTAAGTGATTGTATTTGTAATCTTATTAGTTGACCATAGTCCATTCCACCTCATACCCACCTTGTGATTTTCCATTGGAAATTCACTGGGTCCTCCTGTCTCAGCCTTCTGAGTGCTGAGACTATAGGTGTGCACCACCATACCTGGCCTCAGATGATTATTTCTAACAAGCCCAAAGCATGGTGTTTACTTAAAGTAGTCACTTTTCAAGAAAATATAGATAATAATACTAAGCAAGGGCTTGCTGTCTGGTGAGCATAGGAGCCAATACGAGGGTATCAGTTTTGCAAAAAAAATAAGCCTATTATTGTACACTGACCTATGAAGAGAAAGAAAGCATGGCTGAACTCTGTCTGTCAGACTGGCTGTAGCAAGGAAATTTAGGCAGCCCAGGGAAAGGGGGCCACATCCACTTGCCCAACCAGGTGAAAGACTTGTGGGTACTCAGTAATGGGGGAGTCTCTGGTCTCTCCCTGCCTGTGGTTCAGACTGTCGACTGCACCTCACTTCTACTCCAAGTCTGTGAGACCTCCTGATTATTCAGGCATTGGTCACTCAGTGGAGACTTTTGGTTTGACCAGGCTCATAGGTCATTGTAGGTCAGGTCCTAAGGTGCTGCACCTTCATCCTGAAAAGCAGCTTTATCAATTTCCAGAAGCAGGAAAATTGCTGCTTTATGGCCTATTTTCAATATGGTCTGGGTACATTTCCTGATAACTTGGAGGTAGAACTCAAAGGATCTGGGGCAACTAATACTTAACGTATCTATTAGCTGTATTTTTCCTATCAGATGCCTTAACTATTTTGGTACCAAGTGCTGGAACAGGGTAAATTCCTGGCTGAATTTTCTGAGATTCAGTTTTCTGAGGAATATATGAAGTGCTGGCTTCAGGTATTATCCAGACATGCACATTATCTGGGTATTGAATATGTAGGTCACAAAATTATTGTTCTGTTATTTAAAATGTTTTGGTCCATGGATAAAAGATGAGTAACTCATATGAAAACTTTACATTCTTATTTTCTGATGAGAACGTATGGTAGTGGAATAGTGCCTCAAATCTTCTTGCTCATTAATAGTTTGAAATGGCAAATCAAAAAAAATAAATAAGGTTTTGAATTATTAAAGAGGTGGTATGGGTAGGAGAATGAAGAGCAGAACATTTTTAAAAAATGGATAAAATGAATTTCATTCAACCCAGCTATTCCCCTTCTAGGTAGCTTCCCAAAAGAATTTAAAACATTACATTACAGTGATACGTGCATACCCATGTTTATAGCAGCACAACTCATAATAGCTAAATCTTAGAAGCAGCCTATATGTCCATCAACAGATGAATGGATAAAGAAAATGTGGTATTTATACATAATGGAGTACTACTCTGCCACAAAGAAGGATAAAGTTGTCATTTGTAGGAAAATGGGTGCACCTTGAGACCATAATGTTAAGTGAAATAAATCAGAAACAGCTTAAATATCACATGGTTTATCTTACATGAGAAACCCAAAGTATAAATAAATAAAAGAGCCAAATAAAAGACAAATAATAGGAAACAGGGAGATAGACGTTTTGCAAAAGGGAGGGGGACCCAGAGATGGAGGGAAGGAAGAGGGAGGGGAGGGTGAAGGAATGAAAAAAGAGCTAAGGTGCATTCTGTATACCTGTACCAACTCCCCACAGTGAAAGTAATCATTATGTACTGCAAGTAGGTACTAATAAAAGAAAAAAGAAAATGGATAAAATGCTGCTTTTGACTTGACACAAAAGTTCTGAGAAGCTAGGATTTAGATGAACAATTTGGTGATGGGGCACACTGCTCAGCAGGAAGACTCACAGTTGTGGCAAAGCATATTCTGCTAAGGTAATTAAGGGTTACTGGACCCCAGCTTAGCCAAATTCTAGAAACATTTCAAAGCTTATTATAAGATTACACAGTCTTTTTCCCCTCCTACCACTTCTCTTAAGGAGGAAACATGTCAAGGCTCTCAATATCCCACTTTTATTATTGGCTGAGGCTTCAATATTCTCTTCATACTCAGCTGAAAAATCTAAATTCGTTGCTTATAAAGAAGATTTCCACTCAAATTTGAAGTTTATATACAACTTTGTCTCGAGAGATTTTATAGTTTCCCAAAAGTTTGTTTTGTTTTATTTAATTGTTTATCAAAGTAAAGTGTAGTGTTACTGTAGGGCAGGCAAGATTTTACACTCTTAGAGTCCCTATCTGGGCCTGAGAATCAGACTTGAAAACAAAACTAGCAGCATTCACTGTACATTTGACAGAACTGATGAGTTTTCTAGTTGTTTCTCAATGATTAGAGTTATTCAAAGAAGAAGTAAGTATTAAATTATCCAAATTTTGGCTCCTTGAAATGAAGATGCAATAATTATTTCATTTAGAAACCACCTCACAATAATATTGATGTAATAAATTAATTTGACCACATTCAATTAACAATCCCTAGGAAAAAAATAGCCAATTCAGAATCAATTTTCTTCATTTTTATTTACTTTGGCTGATTTACTGGCAATTTTTTTTTTTTTTGAACCAGGGATCAAACTCAGGACTTTGCACTTGTGAGGGAGGCGCAGTGCCACTGAGCTAAATCCCCAGCCCCTGGTAAAATTTTTATACAAATCTTGACTTTATAATCTTCTTTTATTAAACCCAAGAGTGATATACATATGACCCTCAATTTACAATAGGGTTACATCTTGATAAACCCATCATATATTGAAAATATCCTTAAGTCCAAAGTGTCTTTAACACACCTAATCTACCAAACATCAGAGCTTAGCAACACAGTATATTGTGGAATATTGGTTGTTTACCCAGAGGATCATATGGCTGGCTTGGAGCTGTGGTTTATTGCACTGCCTAGCATTGTGAGAGAGTATCAGATTGCACACTATTAGCCCAGGAAAAGACCCAAAATGTATATTGCTTTCACATCTTCATAAAGTCAAAAATTGTAAACCAAACCATCATATGTTGGGGACTGAGTGTGTGTATGTGTGTGTATGAAGGCTATCACATTGGTTCCAAAAACATGTGGGAGACGTGTTTAAGGTGACCAGACAGCCTGGGTAGCAAGATGAATCTTACAGAAAAATAAGTCCTTTCTTATGTCTGGAAGCCCAAAATACTGATGTGAACCCTCATTTTGGTGGCTAGTTCACATGAGTTTCCTCAGGTGAACTCTTTTTGAAGGTTGCACAAGAAAGTTGAGCCTGAAACTTAGCACCCAGAGAGAATTATTTTAATAGCAGCTAGGTTTAAAAAAATAAATAAATAACAGCTAGGTTTTTTAATCTATCTTATTTATTTATTTATTTACTTACTTACTTATTTAGTAGTACTGGGATTGAACCCAGGGCCTTATATACACTAGACAAGTGCTTTACCACTAAAGTACACACCCTTCTTTTTTATTTTTATTTTTCATTTTAAGACAGGGTCTCACTAAATTGCCCAGTCTGGCCTTGTCTAGAATTTTGTCCTTTTGGCCTTCTTTATACATTTACAACTTTCTGGCAATTTTAAGGGAAAATATATATACTTCAAAATATGATTTTCCCCCTATTGTTTTCTCAGGGTTATGTTAAGAGCAACAATCTTTTGCAAGCTTCTACTGCATACCTGGAAATAGAATCTGCTGTAATCGAGCAAGTTGAAACTATAGAGATGCACCACACTCTAAGTCAGATTTGAGTCTGTTTATTTAAAGCCTGCAACCGAGACGGGCTAGTGCCTGGAAAGAACTCTGGGCTCCAAGAAGCAAGAAGTGGTCTGGTTTCTCCTTTTAAATCATGCTTTCAGTTGGAGAGGGCTCTAGAGGAACACAGGTGGATTTTTACAGAAGCACAACCATGTCAGGTTAGTGGGGGGCAAGAGGAAGTTTCACATACTGGGTGAGCTACAAAACATCCTGCAGCTGCAGCAAGTGTTCTGTCAAACAGGATGTGGGTTTTGGGTGCTTTGTCTAGCACAAGCACAAAATGGTGGTGAGGCTCAAGATGGAGTCAGATTGGCTATCAGAGAATCAAAATAAGGATTTTTAAAAACTGAAATTAGGCTGTGTGTGTGTGTGTATGTGTGCATGTG